TGAGCCGCACCAGTCTAACATATAAGCAACTGTCTACATGATGTGATTTCAGGTGCACCAAAAAAGGCCTCATTGCCCCTCAGTTTAAACACTCCCTTCCCACTGGTGGATGCCTGGAATTCCACAGTTTTTAGAGCTCTGTTCCTTTGGTTTAAAGCTTTGATCCTGTTAAAATACTCATACCCCTGGGTGGGCAGCCCCATTATATCCTATCAACCATACACACTGTAAGCAGATGAGTTTTAAGGCTTCTTCTCTTAAAGCAGGTTTTTAAAGTGGGGTTCAGGGCAGAAGATATTGTGTACCTGAGGGAGATGGGGAAAGGAGACCATCACCTGGGGGGCAAAAGGAACTGGACCCAAGACAAACAATGTGTGCGTGTGTGGCCGTGTGCATGACTGTGTATGAGCTCCTCCCATGGCGGCAGCTGTTGAACACCCTTTCTTAACCCTCTCCCAGAAAACTTGATTTATGCTGCTTTTGGAGCCATGGAACCAGACTCCCCTCCCAGCTACAGCAAGATAATAGCTGCTGGCTACAGCTGGGAATTTTCGAATTCTTTCAAACTGGAGAGTAGGAGCAAAAGGTGAAGAAAAGTTCTTGTGAGCCTGCTGTGCTAGGTAGCCTTCCAAAGAGAAAGATGGGGCCCAATGGTTGTGTTCTCTAAATGCTTCCAACTGGGTCTGAAAGCACAGAATCATGAATTGGCGAAAGTGAACACTGGCTTAATCAGCACATCCTTTTGCGTTTCTAGACTGATTGTTTCTCTTTGTCTTTTCTAGCTGAAGAGTAAGGGTGTCATTGGCCTTACTTCTAAAATGAGCCTTGAAAGGTAAGATAGTTGTTTATGCAGAGAAGAAAAAGAAAATCCAGTTTTAATTCACAGTAGCCCATCTGGGCAGTATATAGTATATAATGTAACAGAATTTGTAATATGTACATATGGACATAGATTGTGGAATAATACACATTGGAGACTTGAGAGGGTAGGAGAGTGGGAGGAGGTGAGAGATGAGAAGCTGCTTAATGTGTATAATGTGCATAATTCAGGTGATGGTCGCACTAAAAGCCCAGACTTCACTACTGTGCAATACATATCCATGTAACAAAACTGCACTTGTGCCTGTTAAATTTACACAAATTAAAACAAAAATAATGTAACAGATTTTATACTTTGGTTAAGGAACTAGATTTTCATCAGTAAAATTCCACGTTACTTGGTAGGCAGAGTGGATAACTGCTCATGGCATTCCTGCAAATTTTTCTTATCAAAAGCCTATCACTCAATGCCTGTTTCAGTGCCTGAAATTCCACCATTAAAGTCATTGCTTGGGGGCTGGAAGGTTAGAAAGTCTTTGAGAGGCACTTATAAAAATGGAACCACTCCTTAAACCTAGCTAGTTTTATTAACTCCTACCTTAGGTTGGCTAAAAGCCCTGAAGTAGCTGCTTAGAGTGGGAGCAAAAGCTTTCAAGCCAAAGAAATATCTCCCCAAACCTCAGGGCCAGTATGCCGATGACCCAGCCCAAATCCTAGCCATTCACATACCACCCTTACGTATTTTGTTATATCTTCATATTCCCAATATTATTTAATATTTTTCTTTAAACCAGCTCACATTTTTTTTTTTTTGCTATTACACTTTATTTTGCACATGATTTGATACACAAAGGAATGAAGAACGTTAAAATGGTTAATATATGAGTAACTTGAAAATTCTTTGGCCGGGCTTGGTGGCTCAGCCTGTAATTCCGTGCTTTGGGAGGCCGAGGTGAGTGAATTACCTGAGCCCGCGGGTTCGAGACCCGCCTGGGCAACTTGGCGAGACATCATCTCTACAATAAATCAAAAAGATTAGCCGGGCATGGTAGTGTGCGCCTGTAGTTCCAGCTACTTGGGAGGCTGAGGCAGAAGGATCTCTGGAGCCCAGCAGGTCGAGGCTGTGGTGGCCGGGAGCAGCCACTACACTCCAGAATGGGTGACTGAGTGAGATTCCAACTCAAAAAAAAAAAAAAAAGAAAGAAAATTATTTAAAAGGTAAATGATTATTTTAATAAAAATAATTACAATGTGTTGTAGAGTTCACTTTTTTTATTAAAATAAATTTATCACAGCGCTACCTACTTAGCTTTGTCCTAATGAAGTCATGGGTTGGATGCAGTAGTTACCTATATTTTTTCTAATTCAACATTAAAATAAATTTTTATTAAAATAAAAACATCTATTGAGCACCTACTACATGCCAAGCATTGCTTAGAAATCAGAAATACAGTAGTAAGATAGACAAAAGTCTTGCTCCCAAGAAGTTTGTATTCTGGTTGAAAGAGGCAGGCAATAAAGAAACAAACATTTAAGGTAAAAAATAAATTAAATTAAATTAAACCCCAAAACTTCATTGGTCCACTTCATTGAACCCAGGAATCCACGCATTTCACTCTGGGAAGCACTGCCCTAGCTCATACAAAGTGTATTAGATATAAAAGTATGTATTAAAAATAAGTCACAGTCCTCCTTTTCCAGGTACTCAAAACCCAGTAGTTGAAAACAACTGTTGCCTTTGTAGTTAGTTGCATGAGCTATGGAAGATCATGAATTTATGGGAGGTCATGTCTTCCTCTGCAAGGTCATGAAATTCAATCAGTGCTTGCCTTCCAATCTGCCCTTTGGTCACAGGGCTCCACAGGTGGAACATATCAAACTCACCAGCCAAATTATGACTCTTAATTGGTGTTTCTTTTAAAGTGGATATGTCATTTGTCAAATGTTCAATGCAGGCGCAGGCCTAGCCCCAGGCAAAATTATGAAGTAGGAGAAGAATGCCAGATACATAGGCGGCACTCAAATGTTTGTTGAAAAAAGAGTGAATGAGCCCTCCATCCTTGATTCCTTCTCTCCCTTCCCCCATATTCACTAGGTCACTATGCCCTTTGAATTCTATCTCCGAAACATCTCTAGTAGTTTTTTTCCCTTTCCAAATCTCCTCTGCCATAGGCCTTTATCATTTCTTGTCTGGATTATTTTCACAGCACCTTAACTGGTCTCCCTGCTTTCAATCTTTTCCCTTCTCCAAGCCATTTTCCACAGTGCTGCTGGAGAGATCTTTTAGTAAGGCAAATATGATCATGGCACCACTGTGCTTAAAATTTCCTTAAGTTGTTCCCCAGCCTCCTCCCCATGGCTTCCCCATTTCACATAATCTAGCCTTTTCTTACCTCTCTCTCTTTAGCTTTTCTAACCCCCAGGCTGAAATCATTCCTTGCACCTCCCACCCTCCACTGGACCATGCCAGGCCCCTCTCCTCTGTGTCTTTGTTCACACTGCTTTCTTTGCCTGGACACCCCCCATATCTGCTTTTCTCACCTCTATTCCTACTGGTCTTTCGAGTATGAGTTTAGGGCATCATTTCTTCTGGGACACTTTCTCTGATGCCCCTTTACCCCTTACAACTAGATCTCGGCACTTAACATACAGTGTGTTAACATTTTGTTTGGTTGTCTTCTTCATTAGGCTTGTAGCTCTTTGAGGTCGGGTACCAAGGGTTAATCTTTGAATCCCCATTGTCTGTAATCCACAGTGTCTGGCACAGAGTAGGAGTTCAAATGTTTGTTATGGAATGAATGAATAAATGAACTCCTCAGTGACCTTCTTCTTCCTTTGCCTCTCTTCTCAGTTCATAAGTCCTGGGACAAAATCTCTCCACTGGCCTTGCACACCTCAGACAATTCCTGATAATAAGGCTCTCCCTCAAAATCTACTTTCTCCTAGATCAGAAGGAACACAATCAGATGATAAACTAATTCACGGGAAGGTGTTAAACCATTTTATCGTACACATACTTATTGAGTTCCTACTATGTGCAAGACACTGTGCTGGAGTGGGAGAAGTCATAAAAAGAATCCACGCTAAAGATCCCTACTTGGGAGCATATAGATAATAGTTAAATGTATTCTACCTCTGAGACATATTCGACTCTCAAAGAACTGGATTTCTAATAGTGAGATCTAAGCAGGAAAGGAGAGAATTTGGGTCTAGGAGAACTTCCAAACAGTGTTTTACTCCATCTATGAAATAGGCTAGCTCTGGCTCAACAAACTTGCTGCGTAAAATGATTTTCTAAAGAGTTAGGCTGGTTTTAAGCCCCAGGTTATATCGTTGTCACCAGTTATGCGTTGCTTCGGAAGGGCCACCCGGGACTAACTTGCCAGAGGTAGCTGCTTTTAACATTCTCGGATCAGGTGCTTTCTCTGACTTTGTGTGGTTCTATTGAATCAAACCTAGCAAGCCACAGGCGCTTTCAGACTTTTTAGGTATAGTATTCAAAGGTGAGGCAGGCTGTGAAAACCCCAGAGGTCCCCAGCTCCCGCTGAACATGACTGTTTGTGAGCTGGCTTTGAGAACCCAGCCAGAGCTGCGTTGGGAAAACGGTTCGCAGGAAGCCTCTCGGAGAGCAGAATGAGAAGGTGGATTTTGTGCGGAGAAGGAAAACGTTGTGTAGCTCCGGTGGCCAGAAACGAGCTGGACCGGGTTGGGAGAAGGCCTGTGGCGAAGCAGAGGGGCACTTAAGCGAGGAACCCCCACCCGCCCTCAGGAAGGATGGAGAGGTTGCAAAAATCCTAAAGGGAAAAGCCCTCCAGGCCGCAGGCCAATGAGCGGCGGGAAGGAGGAGTGAGGCTGGGGAACTTCTCCCAGAGCCAGTCAGAGGGGACGGCTGCTGAGAAGCCAATCAGCGCGCTCGAGCCTGCAGCCCCTCTGCAGTAGTTATGCCAGAGCGCCCTGTGTAGAGCGGCGGCGAGCGGGCAGCTGGGCTCAGCTGCCGGGAGCCACCACACGCGCTCCACATCCTCCCCTCGCACCGTCCCTGCCCGGTCCCCGCACTTTGGTGCCCCA